AAAGCAGAAAACATCTTTTAACCTGGACTGCTTTTGTTTCTTTGTTTTGTGAAGGGATCTCTTGAAGTAACTTAATTTTGAATGCAACTCATTAATACGGGCTCCCTGCACCTGCATTTGCAAGTCTTCTCCAACTGCCTAAACAGGGGGACTGGAGCTTTTAGGATTAATTTTCCTTAAGTGACCTACTTCACAGAGAAAGATAATCGTGTGTTTATAGCCTCTTGCATTCTATTCAGGTCACAGATGGACAGATAGCAAAGCTATTCCTCAGTCACTTACTGGAGTTGCAGCTAATATCTAGTGAGAGTGGAGATCAGGTCAATGTTGATTGGTCAGAATGCCTAAAAGTATTGAAGATCATCGAATCCTACTTCAGTCTCAGGAGATGTCACAGTTATGCCCTAGGATACTAGTCAGTGGTTTGCTCTAGGAATGTGTTGTGGTAGTGATGAAATTATTGTGTGCTATAGAAGTTAAATACCTGACTTTGAATCCTCTGCCTTGAAGGTGGACACCATGCACCGTTCTGGAAGTGAACATGTCTAACATTACCCACATACCACGTACTGTGGCCGACAGCAAGGATCAGAAGTTCTGGGAAGTTTTTGAGCTTTTACTTGCTAAGAAGTGCTTATGATCCCATGAACAGTCAGGACTGTAGACATAATTTTACAAACAATCACTGCGACCTAAACCTGTGTTATGGAAGAATTTTTTTTTATACCATGTTCAGTGGAAACAATAAAACTTGTATTTTGCTGTTAACCATAACAGACCTATTTTTGCTCTTGCATTGGGCTTATCCTCCACTGCTGTGGAAACACTTATGCAGGTCTGTTTGTAAAGCAGTTTGTCATCTGTGTTCAAATATTCAGAGTTTTCACAAGGAAATGACAAGGCTTCATTTTCTGTTATGATACTTTTAAAAGTTCAGTGGAGCTTTTCATGATGAGAAGCGGGAAAGAAGTATGAAAAATGTCTCTTTTTTTTGAAAGACCAACTTAAAAGTGTGGCAGGAAGCCAGTGATGTTAATTGTGACAAGTCTGAAGAACTAAGTATTTAAATTGTGACAGTGCCAGCAAAAGGATGCCTGGCTTTCAGAACAAAACAAAACAACATACTTATGCAGGTTGAATTCTTAAACTGCAAATGTGTGTGTGCCTGTGTCACTGCGTTTATATGTACAGCTCATCTTTTTGCTCTATGATGTAACTCTGAAGGGTGTCCTGGCAGAAGTTACATTGTAATTTGGATCACTTTCATCACTGAATAAATGTTCCCATTTCATGTGGGCCAATAATCTTGGAACACATGAAGAATGTTTTGGTTTTGTTTCATTGTGTAATGGTTTTGTTACAACCATTAAGACAACCTGACAGAGGTGTGTTTGTATTTCCTCTGATGCAATGTAATACAGTGAGGACAAAAGCAATTCCTTTTAGCAAAAAGCCTTTCAATCAGGAATTAAAAAAAAGGTTTTAGAGAGAGACAGTATGGGTAGCCCACCTACACCTATCCTAAGGGACATTAGTGCAGCTGTTTCATCATAAAAATCCTGGCCACAGGCTCTAGCAGTTGTTGTGAGCCCTTTGGGTTTTCCAGGCGTGGTACTTTCAGCTTCAGGACTTGAGCATTTACCATCCCAGGTATTAGCTCCAGAATTTTCTCTCCTGAGGGAGAATTCCCTAAAGTATGTGCCTGAAGTGTGTGTTTCTCAGTGTTCACGTTGGAGCTGTTAATAAACTTGAACACATGTAGCCCTACAGATCTGAGCATCGATGCACATAATCTAATCTAGTTTAAGAACAGCCTGTTGTAGGTGTGCTTTGATCTGTTTCTAAAATAATTAATTTAAATCAAGATAAGTCCAGTTTTAGCCAAAATAATTCACAAACCATACATTTGTCTGTGTGCATGTGTGTGTGAAAAAGTTTTTGAAAATAACTACGTACTGCTATGATTGGTTACAGGCTATTCTAATCAGATTATGATTTTATGAAGTATGGAAATACAAAAAAAAAGTATGTGTCTTTGGCCCTTGTTTCTTGGTATGATATCCATCACATTTTTGTGTCAAAGAATGTGGAGTTTTTTTTGGAAGAGACAGGATGTCTAAATAGTTGAGAAATTATAGTGTATTATCAAATACAAAACTAGACTAAATCAAGTAATATGCTTCTATTCGTGGAGCAGTAGTACAATCTACAGAAGATGTTGTAGAGATTAGTTGTAGGAAAAAATGTACAGTGTATGTTATAAACAACTTCTGCATTACAATAAGCATGTTCAAACCCACTGTATTAGATTTCCTAGGGGTAAAAAGTAAAGTGGAGAAATAGTACTAGTGCAGTCCTGTTGAAAGTGACTGATTTAAAATAACAAGCTCCAAAGAAACCTTCCAGCTTTTGAACGAGGGTAGCTATAGCAGCTACAGAAAATACATGACTTTTATTTACTGCTGACGTTCCACTGTACAAGAAATAACTGAAGAGCTCCTAGCTGCTTTCTTGTCAGGGTTTCTTGTAAGGGCACTCGGCAAAGATGCAGGTGAGACATGCCAGGAATCCCACTCATGTGGTTACTCAGCGTTGGCTAGGACTCTGTCTCCTGGGATTTTCATTGCTTATAATTTTGCCTTGTATTATTGTGAGTATAAACAATACGTTGAAAAAGACCCATTCACTACCCTTTTTGCATTGTCAGTTATGATATGAAGCAATCAAACGGTTCCCTTCCTGTAACCATCCCAGATAATTAGCTTGTAATCTGCTGGGTTACGTGAATATAGAATCTTGTGTGTATATTTTTTCTGTGAGAAAAGACAAATAGTAAGATACATTTTGTAAATGTGAGTAAGTGTCACACGCACAGTTAACTTCTAGTCCTGCTGTAGCAGGGCTATGAAATAGGACCACTCACTTGCATGAACTTGGTGTGGAGATTTGTTTTCAAGATCAGAACATCTAGGAGGAAATGTGATTATGATGATGAACTCAAATTTTTCACATGATTTTTACAGAATTTGTTGATCTGCTGTGCTACTATAGATGAAAAGTAAATCTGTTCAGAGAAACAGAAGTATAGATATTGTTACATAAATTTGTTCTCATCTTCTTTAATATGTGAGTCAGTGCTCCCTAATGAAGTAGAATTATCATTATATTAGTTTAGTCACTGAAGATTTAAAATTTCCAGTGGTGAACTTCTAATTAGTTGAATAGATCATGAAATGCTACAGCAATTTGAAAGAACCTGTATTTCTTGTCTGAAAGAGCTCGTATTCCTGTTCAAGGGAAGAAGCAGTATATTTGAAAGAAAATGCAGGAGCATGGAAGAATCAGATATCTCATTTTAGTGAAACAGTAGATGTGATCTGAATTGATAATGAGTGGCACTTAGTGACTAGTTGACTTTGGACACCTAAGGAGTTTTTATAGGAATCGTAATGTTTTTGAAATGTGCATTTGTGGAACAGACTGTGCATATGCAAGAAGTGAGAAAAAGAAACTTGGTGGGTGAAATGGTGGCGGAATGATTCATATGTGCAAAGTTCAAATAAGCCTATCAGCTTATATACAAAATATCAGTAAACTATAATTAAACATATGGTCCCTTCCAACTCAAGCCATTCTATGATTCTATGATACTAAATTATATTAAGTATTAGAAATAGATTACAATAATTATTCATAATTCACTATAAACTTATATGCAAAGTCATTTTGATTAGAGTTACAGATCATTAGTTGTCAGTGATGCCTTTAACAGTAAGTTAATTAGACAAAAATTAATTATTTTCTTTATGTATTTTTCATGTAGGTATGCAACTCAAATGTGGTTGTCTTTATAAAAGTAAATGATAATGACCTATTTGTGTACAAATACCTTCGTCTGATATATAAGATGTTTTTCCTTTGCATTCTAAGTAGAAGGACAGGGTCTACAAATGATGGCTAATTATTTTTGAAAATTAAAATCCTGTATTCGTGCAGATAATAACTAAATTATAGGCAAGGATTGTTCCTCCATGGCTACATTAATAAATCCCAACATCACAATCCTATTTGCAATAAAGCAATAATATCTCTATGCTTCTTGATCTTTAGCTTCTTCGCTGATATTACTGAAGTATTATTAACAGCATTATGTTGTTGAAATTCAAGATCTTTGATTTTGTAAGTCCAAATTAAGTATGGTATTTAATAATAATAATAAAAATTATATTGCAGGCATAGAAGGCTTGTATTAGGGCAGCTAATCCGTAGTTCCAAAGCACTACATTAGCTCTCTTAATCATGTTGGTGACAAATCTTTCCCTATAATGTCTTTCATTAAGTAATACATTGAAAAAGCACTTATACATAATACATATATATTAAAGTGATGACTAATCATGTGCATATTCTAGAATTACAAGCTGTTGCTTTTCCTAGAATCACAGAATGGTTTGAGTTAGAAGGGACCTTAAAGATCATCTAGTTCCAATCCTCCTGCCATGAGCAGGGATGCCTAGATCAGGTTGCCCAGGACCCTATCCACCTGATGTCTTGAACCCCTCCAGGGATGGGACATCCACAAGTTCTCTTGGCAACCTGTTCCAGTGCCTCATCACTCTCTGAGTGAAGAATTTGCTACCAACATCTAAGTATTCCCCCTTTTAGATTAACCATTACCCTTTGTCCTATCACTATCTGCCCATGTAAAAAGTCACTCTCCACCCTTTTTATAAGCCCCCATTAAGGATTGAAAGGCTGCAAGGAGGTCTCCCCTGGAGCTGGTTGGATTTCATCATCTGTAACATTTTATTTAAAGAAAATAACCTCTTGAACTAGGAAGGCAGAGGTTGTTTTCTGGTAAAGATATAGCTATATTAAAAAATTTGTTGGTGAGTACTTTCTGAATTTGAAGTTTTGATGATTTGCACACTTGTATTCTCATTTGAACATTTAGTCCTAGAGGTTTGAAGTCTCTGACCATTCTCATTCTGTCTTTGCAGTTCGACAATCAGCAAGCATTGGGAGGCAGAACTGGCCACGCTCAAGGGTAATAATGCTAAGCTCACAGCAGCCCTGCTGGAGTCCACTGCCAATGTAAAACAATGGAAACAACAGCTTGCTGCATATCAGGAGGAAGCAGAACGTCTTCATAAGCGGGTAAGTTGAGGCAAACAGCCAGGATCATTGAGATGGAAGTCCTGGTGACTGTATTCACTCATTTTGAAGTGGAACAAATAAGCTTATTGTTGGGGCTTTAGGTAAATCTTTGAGACGGACACTAAAGATCACTTTAAAGCACACACTATTTCTCAGGGAATTCTTTTGTAGCAGTTCCTTTTCTGCAGAGGGTTTTGTTGTAGCCAGAGTTATCTCTGCTGTAAACCTTAGGCCACCTTTGCCAGCTTTCACTCCTCGTTTTATGCGAGCTGCATCGCATCTGTTTCAGGACTTTCACCATAACATTACATGTGACTCCCTCCTGCCTCTAAGCCTGTAGAAACTTGACATCAGATCTGTAAGTTAAAGGAACCCTGTTGTAGTTCCCAGAGTTACCAAGGACCAGCAGCTTCCTTTTGAACTTGCACCGAAAGAAAACCAACCGTGTGTAAGACCAAACTCATTATATGCGAATAATGGTCTCCTCTTGCATGAATGCAAGAGGAGCAGGGTCTTCTTCCCTTCACTGTAAAATTTGCAGAAGTCATTTGGCAGAACAGAAATTAGAACACAATTGGGGTAGGAGTAACAGCCTTTGAGAGAGGAATAAAGCTTATGCAGTGTTGAAGTCTGCATTGTGAATACAAGTATACAATTCCTCTTCTCTTTTCACATATGACACTTAATATATTGGTATAATTTATTCATATTTGTCCATGTGAATTTAGTGTAGGGCATACTTTTGTGCAAAATGAAGGCAAGCCTACACGTGTGTAGTGAAGATGTATTTAGTGGAGCTTTTCTAGAGTTTTTTTTAGTGTCAGAAGATGAATTTAGTTAAGAAATTAAAAAAAAAAAGTGGCAGAAGACCTATATACTTTTGTGGATGAAGACAACTTTCATGAATAATCTGACAGACATGAAAGGTAATGTAGCAAACACAGCAGATTTTTTAATTTGATTTTATAGACTGTAGTCTCTTATATGAAATAAGATATGGAAATAACAGTTAGCTAAACCCTGCAAATTCCAAAGGTTCTTTCAGACCTACACTGGACCTGTCCAACTGAAGGCTATCACAGGAACAAGCATCATATTGATCTGAGGACGAGAAATTCATCAGGTTGCACCTAACCTTCGCCCAGCTCTGGAAGAGTAGTGAGAATTCCCATGACTTGAGAAACCTGGGGAAATATCAGGTTGTTGGGGCTATCCTATACCTAGACTGAACTGAAACAAGGATCTTGAAATCCCAGCCAAACGAGTTTAATAGGGAGGAGTGACAATTTCCAATGGACACTTACTGCGTGTGTGATACCTGTCTGAATGAAATGTAATTAAAACTGGTGCTTTCAATTGAAGAAATTGACAGTTGCTGACAAAAATGCATTGCTTTGAAACTTTTCTATTCAGGTACAAGCTTGTCATATATGTTTGTACAGAGATGTTTTCACTTATTTGTCTCATTTAAGCATCTCCCTTGGCAGGGTGGAAGTTCTAACCTGTTTTCCAGGTTTGTGGATGAAAGATAATAGTCATATTTGATAAAATTTTGGTACTGCAGAATACCAGGTGAATTTCATTACTAGTGAAGTTTTACAGTGAAGAACCTATTGCTCAAATATAGACATAATGAGGTATCATTCTTCTTAATAAAATGTATTAACAACTTCAGTTGCAAAGGTGAGAAAATAGAGTTCTGATCCAACAACGAAAAGAAAAGCAACACAGAACAAAAAAAAATGAATTATTTACCTGCTCTCTGTGGGGAGACCCAAACAGACAAAATGAGCATGGCATGGTGATAGACGGTCCCTTTTTCTTGATATTACTGTCACTCTTAGCCCTATACTGTCATTGGCAGTTTGTTACTGGCAAACACAATTAATGAATATAGAATTTCTTTGTATGTTACTTTGCTTGCACCTGATACTACAGTAGTAACAGAAGTAGTAACAGAAGTAGTAACCAAGCGAACGCAGCAATTTTCCCACGATTATTTTGTATTTCTGAGGAAATACAGAATGTTATAACATGGAATCATCTACAATGTTCTTTTACAATCAGCTTTTATGTGCTTGTATTAAATCTTTCTGTAATCCATGACCTCGGGGCTTACTAGTATCTCACAAACCTCTCTGCCTATGTCTCCGTGGGCATGCCCGTAAATTACTACAGCTCAAGAATACTGCCCTCTGTTGGAATTGCTTTGAAAAAGATATAGACTTGGCTAACACAGTAAATCAAACTGTCTAGGCAAAAGTGTTCAGAGGGTGTTAAAAATCAATTTATCTGTTACCCCTGCAGCACAATACAAGAGCTATTCTAACCTGCATGCTGGGCACTGATCTTTCAATTTGAAGTAGTCCCACATTCCAAAAAGAAACTGTAATTCAGATATTTCTCTGTTACATGGACAGAAAATGTGCTTTTGAAAAGGTGAATGTGGAGACTGTTGGCTATGGTATGTTTGATAGCAAGCAGCGTTAAAAGACTATCATGTAATCATTCTGTTAGGTTTATCTGTTAAGCTTGGTGTACGCACCAGCTGCAACTGATCCAAAAATGCTCTCTAAATTGGAATCCGTTTCTCCTGAGATTATGTAGAAGTTACACATCATGTTTTGGACGGTCCTCTTTTTTTATATAGATGATTCATATAGACACAGAAACATGAATGGGTGTACCAGTCTAAGACTATTGACTAACGTACTGAGTTAATTTGTTTCTGTAAGTGTTTGTCCTTCTCCATAGATAATCATCTAGGTAATCCTCTAGACATGTGATGAACTCCATCTTTTGTTCACAGAATCACAGAATAATTTAGCATGGAGGGGAACTTTGGATCTTGCCCAACTCCCTACTGAAAGTATGTCCAACTTTGAAATCAGATCCAGCTCCAGGGTTGAATAAGGTTACTCAGGACAGTGTGTCAAACACAGAAAAATAGAGAACCCACAGCATCACTGGACAACAAGTTCCAATGCTTGACCACCCTTCTTGTCAAATTGGTTTTCCTAATATCTGTTCAGAATTTGCCATACTGCAACTTGTGGATGATGCCAGTTCAGAAGAAAAATGCTTTTTAATCCAAAAGAAACTGCATCGAGAAAGAGTTGATAGATGATATTTTAAAATACTTGTAGAAAAAAACACTTCAAGGATAAACAAAAGTTTGGAAATTAGTTTGCATGTTTAATCGCAATGTAGTTGTTGTTTTATATGCAAAAGTTGGCTGTTACAGCATCTTGCCCACTGGAGAAGTAGAATGTGTGTAGATCTGTATTCGTTAGAGGGATACACACACTTATAAGATCATAGTGTTGTACAGAATAGACCAGCTTTCAAAATAAAGAACTGTACTTCCACCACTAGCTGTTAAGTTTAGAGCAATTTAATAACATATTATGTGGTTTATATATAATGCAATTGTGGTATTCACTCCTTACATGCTTTAAGTATATCTACAAGTTCAGGTACCTGAGTCATCTATCTGCAAGCCACAGCAGACTCATACCCTCTGTCAAATGTGGTAGTGGTGAGGAAATAATGCATATCGATTAGGAAATTTTATCTTATTATTTCTGTTTTTAGCTTCCTCTTTATATAAATAGCTTTATAAATAGTCTTACTTAAATAATCGCCTCTATTTAAAAATAAGGGAATGTTTTTTTACTGCTACTGCTATTTATTAGGTAACTTTTTATGGTACCTTTCTCCACACTTTGAACTTCGTCATGTTTTATTTATATATAAATATCCTTTGATTTTATATCATATCTCACCTGTATACTTTCCTTTATTCACATTCACTATGATAAAATATGTCCTTTGGCTCATAGAATCATAGCAGCTAGGCTGGAAAAGACCTTCAAGATCACCAAGTCCAACCATCAACCTGACATAGCGAGTCCCACCACTAAACCATGTCCCTAAATGCCACATCCACACATCTCAAATACCTTCAGGGATGCTGACTCCACCAATTCCATGTCCCTGGGCAGCCCGTTACAATGGTTGTCCACCCTTTATGACAATAAATGCTTCCTGATATCCACTGTAAACCTCCCTTTGTGCAACTGAAGGCCATTGCCTCACATCCTATCACTTGTCACCCAAGAAGAGTGATCAACACCCACCTCGCTTCAACCTCCTTTCAGGTAGTTGTAGAGAGTGATGTGGTCTCCCCTCAGCCTCCTTTTCTTCAGACTAAACAGCCCCAGTTCCCTCATCCACTCCTCATAACTCCTGTTTTCTGGGCTCTTTACCAGCTTCATTGTTCTTCCCTTAATGTCTTCCACCAACTCAATATCTTTCTTGTAGTGATGGTCCCAAAACTGATGACTCAAGGTGCTCAAGGTGCTCAAGGTGTGGTCTCACCAGTGCCATGTTTGAGGGGACAATCCCTGCCCTAGGCCTGCTGGCCACACCGTTTCTGGTGCAGGCCAGGAGGCTGTTGGCCCTCTTGGCCAGCTGGGCCACAGATGGCTCACATGCAGCCGGCTGTCAACCAGCACCCCCAGCTCCTTTTCTGCCAGGTAACTTTCCAGCCACCTGCCGCAAGCCCGTACCACTACAAGGGGCCAAGTGCAGCACACAGCAGTTAGCCCTGTTGAATGCCATGCAACAGGATGCAGCCCATTGACCTAGCCTGTCCAGATCCTTTTGCAGATCCTTCCTACCCTCATACAGTATTCATTGTAAACTTTGATTTTTCAGGTGTTTTAAATTCTTTTAAACCCATCATTTTTTTTCTTCCATAATTGTTTTCAGATTTGACTGAAATAGTTAATCTGTGTATCACGGATTACACTTTAAAAATAATAGAAACAAAGCTATAATGCTCCCTCTTTGATTTGTGATTTAATTTTTAAAAAATTAAGTTAATTTATTATTATTTTTTTTTCGATTAAGATTTCCTCATCTGACAATTTAGTTTCTCACATTAATCTGCACTTATTTGCTTTCTCTGAGGCTTTTGTTTTCTTTGTTCCATTTAT